TGTAAATAATGTAACAAACGACAGTCTGTAATATGCAGCAAAAAATAATCTCGTAAAAGATTATTTCAAATATTTCTTGTTAACGCCGTGAAATACCAAATTACTTTCCGAACAACACAATAACTTTAAAACTCGTGTTTGTGTTCTAGAAAAAGTTGTTATCAAGTTTTTCAGCTTAGCCCGAGAAAACATTTTATTTGCAAGTGAACGTTATATGCGATGTTAAACGATTGGTAATAATATTATTATATTTATATTCTATGTACAAAATATTTACTTATGATTTTTCGAGGTTTTAATTGGAAGAAAATTAATCATCCTTATTTGTTACTTGTTATTACACGCTTTCTGTTTTCATTGATATCCATCTATACAACGAAAACGCAGTTTTATTGCATGCGAAATATTGGGTTGGCCAATAAGTAATGTTGTAATTTTCGGTAAGAAAATTTTCTATTGGCAAGATCTGGTCGTTTCTTGGTAATGTTTTCCTTTAGTCTATCCAATTGTGTAAAACAATTATCAAAATTAGTTTCATTATGTGGCAGGAGCTGTTCTATGAGCTATGTAACATTATCTTCTTGGGGTAAGAATCAACTCCTGGACTTCCATTTCATTCCACGTCGATCTCTCCTGTGCAGTCTGTATCATTGCTTTGGGAGTAGTCAATGAGGTTGATCCTCGTTTACTCCAATGTCTTTTTCTTGTTTCAGACTATGCATGCGTTTTATAGGTTGTTGTTTGTGTAACATCATGTTTCTAATTTATATTACTGACATTGTGTTAAATTACTGACATTACGAAATAAACTACAAAAATGTAGTTAATAAGATAATTTTGTATCATAATAACAATATTTATTGCTACAATTATATAATTAAATAAATAATTATAGAAAAAATTATTGCAATAAATTTTAAAGTGCGATACTTTGTAACTGATAATAATATTTATTATAACAGTCAAATAAACAAAAAAAATAAAAACATTTACAATTATAATAATTATGTCAAATATAACGTACACATGGTTCTTTTTTTATTCGGTAGATACGTTCCACAGTAAAACGCATAAAAATAAATCGCACAAAAAAGGGCTAGACACACGTATAAAAATAAAGGATACGTTCCATAATTTTTTAAAACCGCATAAAACTAAATCAATGAGTTACAATATACCGAAAATCGCATGAAAAAGGGTTTATTAAATTTCAGAAAAATAATTAGTCTTACTATATTCTTTCTGAAATGTTTATTCATAATTTTATAAAAACGTTAACAATCATAGACAAGTTTATTAAATTTCAGAAAAATATAATCTTAACATATTCCTTCTAAATTTATACGGAAATTTTTTACAAAAAAAATACAGATTTTTTTTATGAAAGTTAATCTTTCTTCACTTTTTTTTCTTTAGAATTATCGTCGCTATATGAGAGTGTTCGGCATAATTTGCGAACTGGTTCGAAATCTCTTTCATCACTAGAAGAGATAGTCAACATATCAGTTCTATGTCCTGAAGATAATGATTATTCACAAGTAAAATTAGCCTCAACTTCGCATGTTAATTTTTTCCTTTTGACAATATAATCAGTGATTAAACTTTGCGATGACTTTGCTATTTTTTGTACAATTGCTGATATCCAGAAATGCAATTCTGAAGCTCGCGTTGAATGCTTGTTCAGAATTATCATCTTTTTAGATGAAATGGTTTTCCAATTTGTGTCAAAATGGCCTAAAATAGTTATTTAAAAAAAATCTTCTTCACATAAAAACCGCATAAAAAGAGTACGCATAAAAAGAGGACCGAGTGTATTTGTAAAAAGAAAGGTGCGTTTTACGGTTCGCAAAATACGTTAATATTTAGAAGTGCGTTTGGAATTTGATGTTTGCTTAGTGACTAATACAACAAAAAAGAAAGATGTAAATGAAAACAAAAGTGGATTGCTGTTGTCATGGATCTATCAAGACATTGGTTTAAGCCTTCCTCAAAGTAGCGGTTGACATTGAGAGATGCCCGACGGCATCATTTCTTTTGTGGGAGAATCTGTGCCAGCTGCGTGATTTCTCCAGTAATGTATTAAATGACAGAATTGAAAGTGTGAAGGAGAGCGAAAACGGAAATAATATTAAAAAAACAACAACTTAGAAGCGATGCAGGCTAGAGAAGGAAATGAAACGAAAACGAATGTGTTTGGTGAGAGACTCGGGAGACGGAGGAGTGTTTATAATATGTTTGTAATTTCACTTGGTTTCGTGGAGGAGAGAAAGTCGCCTGAGGATACTTGCTACACACGCGAGTTAAAATCGCACGAGTCCATTGTATTGTAACAACAAAACAGTACGGTGTTTTCGTTGATGATGATGCCTCCTCGACCTTCATGAAAGAGGCGTCGAAATCTCCTGCATATCTCATAATCGCGCGCCGTCCTCTTCTCGCACGTGCACATAATCATTATAATCCTAGGCAAAGCGTACCGCACAGTTTCACGTTGAGCCAACTTTGATGACATATTTACTGGTTCGAATGAAAACAACTACGCATCGCAGTAAATCATAGTAATAAAGATCGTGTTGTTTCACCTATTTACGGATTGGACTTTCGATTTGGACTAGTCTTTCAAACTTGAACCGGTTTCAAATATTATTATGAACTGAACGATGGGTATTTTTTAAATATAATCTCTCAATAAGCATCATCAATCAAATTATGAATTACGAACTGTTGTGTTTTGATTTGAACAAGAGATGGCGTACAAATAATTTGTCCATCTAAAAAAATAGGGCTATAGAATCATTATGTACAAATATGGAAGGTAGAATCTTAGACCAACAATTGACGTTGCACAAAGAGATGGGATATGCGCAAAGTCCATTGTTTCTAATAAGTAAACAAGTCATTTAAATAATATTAATCATTTTGTGCTTCTGGTTCGCAAATAATTTCTTAAAAATTACAATTGTTTGCCATGTAAATAATTCGTAAAAGAAGACATCTTGGTTGGACAAGAAAGTAATTTTAGTTATATATAATCACCCTTTACGTTGTTGAATGTAAACATTTGAATTGGTCGTTTGGTTCCTTTAAAACTAGCTTCAAATACACAACAACTTTGTAATCCCACCAAATTGACAACATAATCTTTTTTTGATGCAATTCAGCTTTCCATGTAGTTTGTGCTGGTTTATCACGCTTGATTTATGTGGTTGTACAATAACAGCTGCTAATAAAATTATACACAATTTGCTTCTAAATTAAGCTGTGACATCAATCAAATATCAAATGGAAAATAATCGCATGAAACTACACCATCTCGTTGTGCATCTTCATATCCAAGTAAATACTACAAAATTTGACCAAAACCAATGAACTCTCTTAAAATTGCATGTTAGAATCTCAGCTTTCCGATTATGCATGAATTTTATGGGTTGCAAATGGACAAATTCCGACATCAGAAATTATTTAGTTATTTGTAACATCATGTTTCTAATTTATATTACGGACATTGTGATCAAGTGCTGATATTACAAATCTGTTCATGAATTGAGAAAATTTAATATCGCGGTTAACATTAATGGATAATCTTTCCCGGTGGATAGTTTACCATTATGATGATTTGATTTTTTAATTTGTTGGTTGACTGTCGTCTTGTAGGTTAACTTCAGTAGTATATTGATGCTCTGCGATTCCACCATTTCCTTTCACTGTGAATCCTTAATACTGTCATTGTCTATCGACTTGGCTGAAGGTCCATATGCTGAACCTCATTCATTTCACTGTATATCTGTGATGAACGATGGCCCTATTGCTGCAAGTATCGAGAGGGCTCTTAAGGGGTCTGGCTTTGACCAGGTTGGTATGGCAACTTAACCATTCGGCTATTAGTCGCCCCGTATAATATTTATTATAACAGTCAATTAACCAAAAAAGAAGTTGGAATTTAATTTATAATATGAATATTTTAATTTATTTGAAATTTATTACATTTCATTATTAATTTAATTAATTCACACTTAACGTAATTCGCATGTTGTCAGTGTTGCTATATAGTTATTAACTAAAATACATGTAATATTATCTTAATATACAATTACAGCGCTGTAAAGCCAGTGCTTTAAAGCGTTTTGCTTTGTAGAGTATCAAAGTTATTAACAAATAAGTTAAACTGCTTTAGCAGAAGTTGTCTTTATATGTGAAACGAGCATCTCTTTGTATTTTCGTATTTACGAAGGTTTTAATCTTAAATGCTTGGAGTAGAGTAGTTTCTTGTTAATAATATATCAGGGTACGTCTGCAATCTTTCTCACGAATTTGGACTGAAATCGTTGAACTGTTACAAAGTTTGATCCGATTGAAGCTCTTTAAAGTACAATACAATGAGTAAAACTTTATATATTAGTAATTGAATTTTTTTGACTGTTAAACTTAATTGAAGATTAAAAACGTATATTAGATAAATAAGTATTGAAACTGTTTGTTTTATTCTATTTTTTTTATCAAACACTTCAGTATTAACTCAAATTTATTGTATAAAGTTATTAATACAATCGCACCCAAAACTCCTCTTCTTGCTTTTGGACTCGTATCAAAATTTGGATCATTTACTACAATTTTATCAACGATTTCAATTATTGTTTCTAAACTTTTTCTAAGAAACCTGTAGCAAGTTTTTTTGGTTCATCGTCTTCAGAATCACTATTCCTTCAATTCCTTGTTCTGCCCGTTCTTGAAGGTCGTCTTTGGTAAGGCCCTCATCAGAAACCTGCAGTAACTCCTTAATATCTTTCTCATCTACATCTCAAACAAGCTTAGATTCTGGGAAAGCACAGCGTTACGTGTTTGGAAATAATCGTATTATATACGAATCAATTAAATGCCGCGGTAATTTGAATAACAAATCATCGTTAAACGAGGTCTTACTGCAGTTGCAAATTTGTATCTATTTTGTTTAAGTTATTTCTGCTGAACTAAAATGTAATTGATTTAATTTTGTATTTTAGGTGTGAACAATGCTTCTGCAGGCCTCGCAACAAACGGAGGGAGCCGTCGCAACGGCGCCGCCAGAGACCGTGCGTCCGCAGGGCGGTGGCGGCAGAGATGCCGAAATGAAGACGCTCGTCCTAGACTACGCCCCTGTACCGGGATGGACGGTACACGTTACCAATGAAGGAAGACTATACTATTGCAAGTGAGTAATATTAAAAAAAACATATAATTGTACTGTTTTAAAAGGTGTAGAGATCTAATCTTAGATCAAAATTAAAAAAATCCATTAGTCTGTGAAGATCGATAAACATCAAAGGGATGGCAGAAATAAAGTATTTCAGCATAATTGTCTTGATTCAAATGATATGCTTATCAATATATTTTCTATATTGAGGTTATTCAAACCGAACAATACAGATTTTCATGAAAAGTTTCAGTATAATCAATGTGTAGTCGGACATAACCCAAGTCTGTGCCTTCTGCGGCTTTCAATTGCCGGATCAGGAATTACGCTGGAACATAAAGTTTATTACAACTGCAAATAATGTCGTCAATATTTTTATGTTGGTGTTTCCTGATTACTGAAAACTTGATTATTTTCTCGTTCGGAATAACATTCGTGCTGTCGATATACTTATAATAAAGAATGTTGTTTTCATTGATTATAAGAAAAGTGAAAAACAGAATATATAACAATCAATAATAATAATATTTATTGCAAAAATTATATAACTAATTACAGTCAGGCAGAAAGGCTGCGGTTAATAGCCCTTTATATGTATTTGTCCAATAAATTATGTTTATTAACCCTTTGTCGAGTATGTCACCTCCAACATAACAAATTTGCTAAAAAAACGTATGTCTCGCTGGAGGTGACAACAACAATTTGTTTGGGCATGTTTCTTATATTTTTAGTTTAATACCGTTATATAACCACAGACATCTAATAATTACAAACTGCGCAGTCGTTTCTCAGTCGATTGTTATTATTTGTTCGTACATTTTATACTAAATTTGCTATGACAGGAATGGTGTGAAACCCATCTCTGTTTTATACGTAAATTAGTGGTTTCATTAGTGGGAGATTGCAGGTAGAGTTTGTACAAAAAACGACTTTTTAATAAACCGCTTTTCGAATCTCCACTTCTTTACAAATCGGTTTTCAAAATTTCACAAATAATAGAGAAAAATAATTTTTACAAACTTATTTTCTTTTTATTTAATATACAGAATGTCTACAGATCTATTGTGCATACAAAATTTTCATAAATAGAAAAAAAAAACTCATTTTAGCATTAAATAATGAATCTAAATTCCTTCTTTTTTTCTGTACTCTCAATACTTGATGCTCCTTTTTTGATACATTGGGGAAGATATTTATGAATTGATGTTTTCAAAGCAAGCTATGGCTTGTTTTTCTTCTTCACCGCCTTTTTCAACAACTTTGAAAATAAATTGAGTTCAAAGGGTTAATATTAATTATATACAAAAAAATATGAATTAAAAAACAAATATATAATTGACATTATATATCTTTTCTACCTATGAATAAAAAAACATTTTCGTTATCAAAATCAAAATAAACCACGTTAATTTATAATAATTATAGTTTATTGCATTTATTTCTTTACATTTATTTATTTTTAATGTTTATCACAATGTTATGTAAATTTTATTCACACTTACTTACATTGCGGTTTGCTACGTCTCATTTCAGTTATATTTATTTAATTGGGTGCGGTTAAGTATAGTTTACTTCGTTAAGTTCGATTCAATATTTTATTAAAATAGATAAAACGTAGATTGAATGTATTAAACATAATTATATATTAATACCTCGCATAGTGCAGCTTATATCAGTACGAATTCAGTATAGGCCGATTTGCTAATTTCAAAAGAAACTAAATTTAAGTTAACGAAACAGGAAATAAATTCTAAAAAAATAGTGTACAAAATTATTTATATAGTCAATAACTGTTTTCTAAGCTTTAATTATAAGGTGTGGTGTTTATAGGACTATTTACAAACATATTGAAATATTTTAATATATTGATTTACAATCTGCCACAATCTGAAAATAAGCAAATATTTGTAACAAATTGATATTGAATGGAATTTTTTAATATATGCAATTTATATTGAATATTTGGAAGTAATTAATGTACGGTATTTTTAAGAGGAATTTAATTATTGTAAATCTGTAACACAAAACGTAAGATATTAGAGTAATTTTGTGATGTTCTTCAAACTTATCAAGTAATGTTCATAAATACAGAAGGCTGACTACTTGCTTTAAAATCTTGAAATTATGTAATATAACATCAAAAATGTATGATTTAAATTTCAAATATAACATAATTAATTCATGTTCAGGTTATTAGTGAATATTGTCTTATAATATTTACAATTAATTATCGAATTAAAAAAAATGACATTTGGTTAATCTATTAAATAGTGTCCTAGTTTGTAGAAAATAAATCTGAGGCAATTATATACAAATTAGGACATTATTATAATACACCGAAATTGAATTATATATTTCACTCGCTTTGTGTAAACTCAAGTTCAAATATATAATCTCATTCAAAGCTCGCAAGAGCTTCATATAATCTGCAAACAAACCTAGAGCTGATCCAAGATGGAGCTCAAGAACGATACCAATATTACATTCACCGTGAGTAAATATGCACTCAAATCATGCTCGTAATAAAATTTTAAATATGTCGATTAAAATATCCAAGTTTTCATTGTTATACAGTCTATAATAGAGATTATATTAATGAATTCTGAACACTATTAGATTCATCGTATAGTTTTTCTCGTTATACAATTAAGTCTCTTTTTGTGCGGTTTTAAATTCTTCAATTAGTCCAGTTTAAAACAGTCTGGGACATTGGCGGAATCGATTACTCGCACTATGAGGTATTGCTGTATTTTCATAGTTTTCTAAATTATTATTATCTATGAAAAAATTTAAAATTAACGTGAAAAACGAACAATTCATTGAATTATGTACTTAAAGATGCATTTTGAAAATTATATTTTGTAAATTTTATATTATAAAATACTTGTACCACTAATTAAAAGTAAACTACATATACAAATAATCCATATGAAAAATTATATACACTTTTAGTTAAAATTTAACATAACTGAAATTTTCATTGCTTCACTTCTTAGGACGATTGACGTGGATATTTTTTTTAATGTCATAAATAAAAGGATAAAATAAATTTAGATATACATGAATGAATGAAATACTGATGGAAAATATAAAAAAATATAGGTTTTTTTTAATAAGTAATAATCCTTTTGTATATTTTTCACTTCTATAGAAAGATAAGCTAATAGAAATTTCATGCAATTGAAATCTAATAAAGGAATTTAAAAAATAGAACTTGTTTGATCTGAAATTATTTCATACAAAGCATTACATTTTTTAATGTTTTTCAACTCAATCTATTTGTGTGAAATTGGGGTTTCTGTTATGTCGGGCGCTAAGAATCAATATATGATACGATTTCAACATGAGCGTTTGAAGTTAATGAAGATAAAGATCGATGTGTTGACGTTTCAATGAAACAATTACAAACATCATTTTAGAATTAAATAAGAGACAAAATAGTTTTATAGTAACTATGATTTTTGTTGATAATAATATTTAATTATTTTCTTTGTTTCTATGCATATTTTATCAAAACTCAAACCTTTTTTCAAAATTGATAAATTTCTTTACGGGATTACAAAAGATATATGAGAATAATAAAACAACAAAATTTGTATTATTATTTTTTTCATTATTTACTTATTAATTAATCCAAAACAATACAAATGAAACTTTGTAATTTATTCAGTAGGTAAGGAAATATGTGAACTATTAAAATTTTGTATTTGAAGTATTTTATTTAAGGCTATTTCAAAATACATTAAATACTAACATTTGTCAAAGTGTTCATGTGTGCAAATTATTAAATATACTGTAACACGACGACGCTTCGTGTACAAAAATACACAATATATACAAATACATATACAAATATATACAAAGGTTTAGGGCGTCACTTCCTTTTATTGAGAGGAAGAACTCTTATAACTGCTTTATCAGATCAGCCCACTTCTTCTCCGACGGTGGGTCATGGCTCCACTAGAGTATCAACAACGTCTTCTTGGAGCTTACAAATATATCTATAATATCTTCTCAACTGGAGACCTCAACCGTCTTCCTTTGCGGTTCGCTGCGGTTTCTCCGAATTTTGGAAGCATAGTTGCAGCGTTGTCTATTTTACCATTTTTAAGTTATTTTTTCAAAAGCTTTGAGAATTCCTGCAATAGACAACACTTGATGTTCTATGGAGATTTCCACATGAAAAATATTTAAACATATAGTCTATAATTATGTTGGTTAAAGAGTAAATGACTGTACTTATTGTAGATTATTTAAATAATTAGCTTACAAACAGGTTGAAAATACTCTTGAAAACATGTTATTTAAGTAGTATTTAATAATTCAGTCATACCTGTGTAAACGTTATCACAACTACAATTATAAACGCAATTGAAAAAATTGATAGAAAGAAATCGTTAGAAAATATATAAATGGAGTTTGGCGCAGAATATGGCCAGAAGTTATACTAAAAGATGAAAAAATAACGTACATAAAAATTATATTATCCAGATGCCTCAATCAATAAATTTCGAAAATGTTTATGAAGATGGTATTAGAAATGTATTGAATGTAGAGATAATGGATTTCCTGTGAAAGATTTAGAAAATCTTTGTTGATATTGAAGACGATTTTTTGTTTTTTTTATGTCGTATTTATCATATGTTCATCAATGTGAACATTGAGTGAATTTAAGATCGCGGTTGACAAAATTATGGATAATATTTCCCGGTGAATAGTTATCATTATGATGATTTTTTAATATGTTGGTTGGTTGTCGTCTAGTAGGTTAACTTCAGTAGTATATTGATGATTTTCGATTCCACTATTTCCTTTGACTGTGAATCTGCTGCTATCCTTAACACTGTCATTGTCCATTGACTTGGCTGAAGGTCCATATGCTGAACATCATTAATTTCACTGTCCATCTGTGATGAACGATGGCCCTATTTCTGCAAGTACCGAGAGGGCTTACAAAGGGCCTGGCTTGACCAGGATTCGAACTCGCAGCAAACCCGGCGAAATCGTGGGTAGGCGAC